GAGAGAGAGAGAGAGAGAGAGAGAGAGAGAGAGAGAGAGAGAGAGAGAGATTTGTGACTTCGAGGTTCGACGACATTTGGATACAGACTTGACTTTGGGTCAGAGACATTGACGAGGGACTATTTGGGATCGATACCGACGACACTTGTGTGATGACATTCCCATCTTCCCCCTCTTCTTCGTCTGATCCCCCTCCTCTTCGTCTGTGTATGGTTTGGGCACTGGCGCATTCTTCCTATGTGAGCGCCAGGCCCCCTTCACACCATGCAATGATGATGATGTATGTTTGGTCTGCATTGCGACATTGATTGGTCTGATCATTGGTATTTTAGCTTTCCGCTGCGCTATCTTGTACTATGTGAGAGAGGTCGGTTCTTGTTCTGGTCTGTACCGTTACAATATGCAACAAAGAAGGTGTAAGGTGGTTGGCTATGGTGGATGGGTGATGGAGGTGGAGGAGGAAGAAGGTGCAATGCGGTTGGTTATGGTGGATGGGTGATGGAGGTGGAGGAGGAGGAAGGTGCAAGGTGGTTGGCAATGGTGGATGGGTGAAGGAGGTGGAGGAGGAAGAAGGTGAAAGGTGGCTGGTTGTGGTGGGAGCAAATAGGTGAAAGAGTTGTAGGAAGTTGATGACGGGTTAGAGGGGCTATGAAAGGTGGGAGGTGGGTGGAGAGACACGGTGGGGTAGGTGATAGCTATGGTGGGTGTAGGTAGGTGAAAGAGCTGTGGGAAGTTGTGGTGGGGTAGAGTGGCTATGGAAGGTGGGAGGAGGATGAGAGGTATGGTGGTATTTAGAGGCAGGTTGGTGATTGCTATGGCCGGTGTAGGTGGATGAAAGAATTGTGGGAAGTTGATGGCGGGGTAGAGTGGCTAGGAAAGGTGGGATAGAGTGGCTATGGAAGGTGGGAGGTGGACGAGAGGTATTGCGGTAGTTAGAGGCAGGTAGGTGATAGCTATGGCGGGTGTAGGTCGATGAAAGAGTTGTGGGAAGTTGATGGCAGGGTAACTATGGAAGGTGGGAGGTGGGTGGGGAGAGGTACGACAATAATTAGAGGTAGGTAGGTGATAGCTATGGTGGGTGTAGGTAGGTGAAAGAGTTGACGGTGGGGTAGAGTGCTAGAAGGGGGCGGTGTCCGGACCATTGCCATTCCTTTGGTTCAACGGAGTCACCAGGGTACAACTACTTGCAGAAATTGACAAAGTCACCAAACTACAACTACTTGCAGAAAACTGATAAAGTCACTGACCCCAGTATCGATGAAGTCAATGGACACTGAATCTCCGGGTCCTGAGGGAATAGGCAAGGGTCTAAGAAGACCCAGAGGGGCTCTAGTCGTAGCTTTATTACGCTGACACACTTTGCACATGCGCACATATTCTATGCAGTCTGCTTTCATGCCTGGCCACGTATAGGACATCATCAGGTTAGCTAAAGTCTTCTGCCATCCAAAGTGCCCTTCTGTATCGTGGCATTCCCCTAAGATCAGACTACGGATCTCTTCACTATTGGGGACGCATAGCCTGTCAGCGACATTAGTCTTTTCAAACAGTAGCCCATTCGTGGTCCGGTAGTGTGGCTCACTATCTGGGGCTTCCCTTACCCTTTTGAGCAGTTCACTGTAGATTGGGTCCTGTGCATAGGCATCTCTTACTTTCTGCTGCAGATCGGCCCTTATGTCTAGATAGTGTACTATCGCGCCGAAATAATCAGATCTCCTGCTTAGCGCATCAGCTACCAAGTTGTACTTGCCTTTAACGGGTTTTAACTCAAAGTCATATTGGTCTATCTCAGCAGCCCATCTGGTCAACTTGGGCATCATCTTGGCCTGTGTCTTTAGCCATCTAAGAGTCTCGTGGTCTGAATAAACCTTGAAGTGCCTCCCAAGCAGGTAGTGTTTCCAGTGCTCTAGAGCCTGCCTGAGAGCGTAGAGTTCCCTCTCATATGTCGATGATGAGACTTTCTCTGAAGGCAGCCTGGCTGACATGAACTCTACGGGCCTATACCCGTTGCCGTCATCTTGTTGTAGAACGACACCTATGCCATACCGACTCACGTCTGTAGTAACAACAAATGACAATGATGGATCGACAACTTTGAGGACAGGGTACTCTATCAAAGCCTTCTTCAATTTCTTGAAGGCTGACGTACAATCCTGATCCCACTTCCAGATAGCTTCTTTCTTCAATAGTCTACGAAGGGGAGCAGCGATCCTAGAGAAGTTCCTCACGAACTTCTTGTAGTAGTTAGCCAGTCCTAAGAAAGAACGCAACTCTGTTAGTTTCTTAGGAGTTGGCCAATCTCTGATGGATGCTATCTTACTGTCCTCAGGCCGAATGCCATCGCCGTCCAGTACATGGCCTAGGTAAAGGACCTATGTCTTGGCCCATTCGCACTTCTTCGGGTTAATCTTAAAGTTAGACTCTCTGAGCTTACTTAGAATCTGCCGTAGATGGCCCTCATGTTCCTCGAGGGTCTTGCTGAACACTAGGATATCGTCTAGGTAAACTACGATGAACCTATCTAGCCAAGGTCTAAACAAGTCGTTCATACAACGCTGAAATGTTGCGGGTGCATTAGTAAGTCCAAATGGCATCACTATGAACTCGTAATGCCCATACCGTCCTGAACGCCGTCTTATACTGATCGTCAGGGTGGACCTCTATCTGATGGTACCCTGATTTTAGATCTATCTTCGAGAAATATCTGCATCCCTAAACTCGATCTAGCAAATCATCTATATGAGGTAATGGCTCTGCATTCTTAATCGTGATGGCGTTCAGTCCCCTGTAGTTAATACACATGCGCAACTCTCCCTCCTTCTTTGGGACAAACAGAACAGGTGCACCGAACGGCGATGAACTAGGCCGGATCCATTCTTTTTCTAGGAWCTCATCTAACTGTCT